TGGGGGGGGGGGAGGAAAGCCAGTAGGACGAAAAGTCGCATTGTCTTTCTCTGGCTTTATTTCCAATTCCTTACGTTCAATTCTTTGTTCGTTATTCTTTCATTTTGTGGCCACGCTCTTACGCAATGAAATAAAAATTATCTTCTACATTTTATTTACGTTATCCAGGCTTCGTATAGAAGATAAAATACAGATCCCAGAGTTTATATTCAAATATATTGAATTAAAATTCGATTGTCTGTCCCAGGAGAATAAGATAAAAATTAGGAAAATACAAGAAGGAATAATTAATATTATCATCAACGGTTTTTCATTGAGTTTTCCATTATAACTGATTTTTGCACTTTTTTGGCGTCCTGCTCGCGCATCGATACAAATTCACGACGTCCTCATATCGCGGGCGTGCCCCCGAATTTCATTACAACGATCCTCCTTAACATTTTCCTCGCGCGGCGGCTTTACGAAACGGCTCAGATACGAAAGTTAGATTCTCAAAGTAACTTATCCAATTAAAACTTGTATCGACTTTCTAATTTAGCCGGTGAGTTACCGCGGCGTAACGACGAAAGTAACGTCGCGCGGTGAAAGAGGAGGAGAGAAGGGCCTCACGTGGACCGAGACCTCGCCGAGAGAGACACCCAAGTTTACATCTTTCTGCTCCGCACTTCAATCTCCGAGCATGCCTGTCCGAAAAGAGCGATCGATTCGCTTCGTAATGACTTGGGATCGACGTAGAAAAGGCGAGGCCGTCGTACGAATGTACATTTTCCCTCAAAGGGGTGGCACCCTCGCAGGAAGGGTAGTACCTTTCCGCCCGAGGGTTCCTCTCGATTTTACACATTTCGAGCAATCTTCGTAAAACGTCTCGAGTGTCGGCTCACGGACGGGTGAAATTCGCACACGATTAACGAGATAGATTTTAACGAGACCCATGAGACCGCGATTACGATTTTAATTTCACCGAACTTTTCCCTCAATACGGTATCCATGATTGATCCTTTTTTTTTAAATATTTTAATTAATTGACTTCTCGTCGAGCATCCTATTGCAGTTTTCAATGCATTCCCAATGTACGTTTCCGATACTCCTTGCGCATATTTTCGCAACGGCGACTGCTCCCGCGTGGAATTCCGCGATAATTCAAAATACACTCTCGAATTATCGCGAATTCCGCTCCAATTTCCGCGAATCGGGGAGCGCGACCTCGTGATGATCGCTAGCCAGCTCTCACTCTCGGCTAGCCAGAGCGCGCTCACGCCCGAGGTCGATTGCTGGTCTACGCCGGGCGTGCTGCTGCAGGGAATCCCGATGCGCGACGCGGCCAGCAGCGTGGGCCTCCCCCCTTCTCCCTCTTCGCCCCACTTTCCCGCGTTCTCTCCCTCTCGCCCCCTCGGCACCGCGACATAGCTGCAACGAGCTGCAGACCGGCCTGCTGGCCGACGTTCGCGTTGCATCAGAGCCCCGTCAACCTTGGACTTGCCGCTGTTGGCTCACGAGGTTAGGACGACTACCCACCCGTAGTTCCTACGGAGCGGAGGGGAGTCCCCTCTCCCTCGCTCGTTGTATATAGGCACTTTGCTCCAGTGGCGGCTAATTAACCCTTTAACCCAGTGCTCTGTTCGTTCCTCCTCGACCGACAAAATGCCTTCGAGATTGGCAAGAATAGTTCGCTACGTGTTTCCCTCCTTTTTCTCTTTGAGAAAAGATGCTTAATTGACTTATATATGGTACAATCGGGATATAAGAACATGACCGCGAGACACATTTTTATCAACGATTTTAGAAAGGGTTAATAAGATCCACTTTGCGTTGACAACTGAGATTCCTCACATAAACAACAGTCTGTCATTTTTGAAAATGTAATTTCCCGAAAATGTGAATATAAGGTTTATATCTTAAGCATGTGTGGATTAATGCTTTCGTAAATGCAAAATTTAAACGAGACGCACGCTTGTCTTCGGCGTTTCGAGATCTTCTCTCGTGGCTCTCCTCGTCGCGGAAAACGCGGTCGATTCCGCGAGCGAGAGTATCCCCGCCCTCGATTTGATGCGACGGATCCAAAGCGAAGAACAGCCGACCCGTAACCGGGCGCGCAGGTATAAGTTCCCGCGCGTCGGGAATTTAATTAATCTCATTAAAAATACTCAGGGGCAATTTGTAGCCATCTCGCGCGCGTAATTAACCGGCAAACTGAGAGAGAAAAGAGGAAAAGAAGGAGGAGGAGGAGGAGGAGTCGCCACCGCTCTCCTGGATAAAAACTGGTCGCGCCTCCTGACATTCGGACATGTTAATACGCCCCGCGTAATGCATAACCGTCATGCGATGCTCCTTGCAAATTGCAGTAATAACGCAGTACAATGCCGGCGGGAGCAGGTCGGGGCGGGTGACCGGTTGGAACGAACGACGCGCTCGCTCTCATTTTCGCGTTCCTTTTCGCGCGGCCGCGACACCGCCGCGCGCGCGTTGTCCATTTCTCACGGATTAAATGCGCCGCGACCGTCCGGCGTATACCGTCGTCCCCGCCGCGCGCGATACGGTCAGAAGAAATGTGTGCGCGTTTGCGTTCCGCTGGAAGGCACTCCCCCTCGTCCCTTCTCCCCCCCGGAGTCATTTTATTTCAATTTCATGGTAATCCAACGTCGAAGCACCGTGTCCTGAATTAGCTTGGTTATTAAATGATTCTGCAAGTGAGAATAAACCGACGGCAATGGGGCTGCGTACAATTTAAGCTTAATCGCTCGATCATTCATTTGATAATTTAAAAATTCGCGTATTAATTATATGTATATACATGTTTACACAAAGCACATATATTATATATGGATCAGTATATGCAATTTTCATTTTTATCCTATGTTGTTCTTTATTTTTATAATTAATAATAATTTTATAATTTTTATAATTAAATATAATCGCAATGTTTTATTATACTTTAACAGTATAAGAATGAGTTGTATTAATTGTAATGAAAAATATTGGCATGTTTTGTTAAGAGTTATAAGATATGTATAGTGAACTCACGTAGAATTAATTTGAAGAAAACAATTATCGTACGATCTCTTTCAAATAACATAGAAAAATAGATCGAAATCGTTTCTATTAGCGAAAGATTAAAGATAAAAATAAGAACGCGTCGCGTTAAGAATCTCGTCCCGCGACAATGCTCCTTGCCGTTGCTTTATTTTCCACATCAAACGAAACTGTGCTCTGCCCGCCGTGCATTCTTATTTTTTAATTTTTTTTCCTCCAACAGAATTTCCTGCGTTCGGGTGAAAAACTGCGAGGCACACGCACCGCGTATAGCTTCTACGCCGACGTTATTTGTGCATATGGCGTTGAAGGTCTCTTCATACCGCGCTAGAGAGGAAGAGAGAAAGAGCGAATAAGAGAACGAGAGAGGCACAGCCAGCGCGGCCAAGCGACTCTACACGTGTCTCGTGTCATGAATATTTGTCTTTCGCATAAACTCCGCGAGATCAAACGGCTGCCACGGTGGTCCAGAAATTGCATCACGTGCGCCGCGACGCGCCCACGCTAAAGAGATGCACGATGTGCAATTCCCGATGTGCAGCGGTCGCCGCTGCTGCTGCCGCCGCGCTCTCGGCCTGTCGGCCCAACGTATCATCCCCGTCGAGTATCGTCGTGGCATTAGCCACGTCTCGCGCGTTATCTCGCCTCTGACGCGCCTGGGAAAGTGCGAGATGTGCATGTACGAATGCCACGCGAATCGTTATTACTCTCCGCACGCGGGGAGAATTTCCTCCTTCTGCCGGCCTCACGCGCTTACTTGATGCAGGTGATTAAGGACACGGCGGTGTGTCGCAAGCCTCCGTTCGTCGTAATCGAGCCGCGAATTAACGACCGGTCATCGGTGTGGAAAACGCGAATTCCCGGCCGAGGGAACGGGCGGCGAAGTAAACGGCAGCCAGACGAACCTGCGCGCGATCTCTTTCCCCCTATTTTATTATTCTGTATTTCGAAATGAACGAGATCTCTCGACGGGAAAAAGAGAGAGAGTGAAGTTTCTTGCCTTCCGGGCTGCGGTGCCTCAATCCGTAAATTCTCGACGCGATCGGATCCGCGTCTCGGCTCCACGTTCGGTGTTATTTAACGCCGCGTTTACGCGTGCTTTATCAACGGTAGCGCGTGCTTAAGATTGCGCGACGGTACGACGACGCGTCTCGTAAAATCCGGCATTCTCGATAGGCGTTTATCGTCGACGCTCCCACAAAATCCACGAGATTAGCTCGCCATATCGTTTGTCTCCTTGGAGGAGGAGGAGGAAGACGACTGCGGGCTCTCGCCCACCGTTAAACTCGAAAACGAGAAGAACTCTTCGCCGGGGAGGCCAGACCCGCCAGACAATGTACGGCGCGCCATTTGATTTACCTTTAAGTCCTCATGAATGCGCTTTATGAACGCGCCTCTCCGTCCCTCCCGCCTCCGTTCCGCCTCGCAATCGTCTCGACGCGCGAATAATGTATCGCGCTCACGGCGGCTTTTAGCAGCGTTGAATTCGCCGCGCGAATTAATTTCGCGCTGGAGACCCGCGCTTGGAGGATCGCTCAAATAAACGCGACGCTCGTTTTTCCGCGCGAGGGAGGGCGAAGGCGAAACAGTCGGCGCGCGAACGACAAAGAGGGAAATTTCAGACTTTATTCTCCGTGTCTCGTCGTTCGAAGCTGAATCTTATGTTAGCTCTTCGCTCCGTTCGCTCGCGACGGAGACGCACGCCGCCGCCGCGCTCGCAGCTTTACTCACGTTTAGCAGATGACAGCGGAATTTAATGCCGCTGTTTGTTCTGCCGCCGGGTAGGATGTAGCGTTTTCGGAATATGTGGCGCCGTTCCGTTGTCAGCCGGGCGAAGAAAGAGCGTTTCCCGCGAAGTCGCTGATCCGCTACCGCCGTCGCGAAAATACGCGCGGATACGATATTTTCGCGGGCGAAAATAAATTCACCGCCGCCCGGATTTTCTGGATCTCGACGGGAGGGATTTCTGGAGACGTTCCAAAAAACTTTAAAAACAACGACCCTGAGAGGAACGGAGAGTCGTGACTCATCGCGGATCGTTGACGTTCGCGAACGCGGTGACAACAACCGCGGCCGAATGACGCGTTGATCGAAATACCGATCATCGCGATTTCCGAAGCGGCGGGAGGGGAAGGCGTGTCTCGCGCTTGGCTGCGAAAATTATTAAGTCGCCGAAAATAATTCACAATTTCGACGGACGTATGCAGAACGTCGTCGCCGAATGTTGAGGTCAATAATTTAGTCGTCAAACGTCAGTAAACAACAGTGCTTTTGACGTGCTTTTTCGTAAGATTACGTTAGCAGAGTCGTGTCAGTCTCCTGATGGACCGAGGCCAACCGATCTTTTGTTTTTTTTCCTTTTTTTGTGCACGCGGTATTGCTCCCGACAGCTGTGCGCGCCGGGAAGAATTTGCACGTGAGAAGTCGTAAACCTACGCGCGGGCACCTCATTCCCTCAATGTATCCCTCCGGCTCGGAGAAAACTGATGTGTGTGAGAAACCGTTGACGGGGAAGAGTGCCAACAGATCGTTGGACGGACTTAAGTCGTCACGCTGTCGCGAAATACGAGTTTGTCCTGATTCAGCCGTGATTCACTTTCTGTATTGCGCTGTTAAATAATTATCCTGTGACGCAACATTAATTTCCTTCAGTCCCTCCCGCGTTTTGAAACTCCTCGCGTTTCTGCTAAAGCTAGACTTGGAGGCAAAAAGTTTAATTGCGCTCGTCCGGCTCTCTGACGTTCGCTTTAAAAATCAAAATGAAGCGTGCGCGGGATATAATTTTCTTATTTTAAATCTCATTGTGTTTTAAATTTATTTAACTGCGTAAAACACATCGCGATGATAAAGCATAATAAATTCTGAAATTTATTTTGTGAAAGTGGAGAGTTTAATTGGCTTATACACGATGAATGCATCTCGATTTATAAAAATAAAGTAATTGCAATTAACAGAATTAATTGCGCTATAACAGAGAAATGGCGCGATAAATAACTTTGTCGTTATGTTTGCCGCACAAACTCGGTCGTGGTTTATTTCTTTCACCGTGCCGTGAATAGCGCAATAATATATAATCGCGCGACGATTTTCCTCAATCTCGAGACATCGACTCACTTTAAAAACTGTTTCTTTTTTCTTTATTAAATTCGAAGGCAGGGAACATTCAGCTACATTCAATTCATCGGAGAGTGCCCTTCAGAGAGATTGGATTCCTGTTTTGAAATAGGACGATAATATAATAGGACGAAATATCGCGCGAAACTGCAACATAACGGCGTGTAATGCCGCGGTTGCGTTGCCATGATTATCTGACGCGATTATCGTCTTTCAGCTGCGAGGGATGCAAGGGCTTCTTCAAGAGGACCGTGCGCAAGGATCTGTCGTATGCGTGCCGCGAGGAGAAGGCCTGCACCATCGACAAGCGACAGAGAAATCGCTGTCAGTACTGCCGGTACCAGAAGTGCCTGACCATGGGGATGAAGAGGGAGGCAGTGCAGGAGGAACGTCAGCGTACCAAGGAGCGGGATCAGAACGAGGTGGAGAGCACGAGCAGTTTGCACGCGGACATGCCGATCGACCGTATCCTCGAGGCGGAGAAGTGGATTGAGTGTAAGATAGAGCACCAGGGGCTCTACGAGGTAAATATATTTGTTCGCGTGATGAAGATATCGCGTGTCGATGCATGTCACGTGTGGGCGGTATTCCCTTCTGACGAGCAGGGAGAAATAAAGCCGGAGGTTTAGATGTGTTAAAGTATAAATAACGAAATAGTTTAGAATGTGTGTGTGTGTAACTGTGGAAGTCACGATATTAGAATAGTATTGGAGTGTATTGCTCCTAAGAACAATCTCGCGGTGTATGAATTGAGAATTTATTTACGTATATAAACGAGATATAATTCATTCATAGCTTTCAACTCTCCAACTAATCTCTTGCGAAACCAAGACATGTACGAGATGAGAATCAGGGATCGAATTCGGAATTCGACGACGAAGTCAATCGCTCTCAAGTCGAGTTACGCCGGTTACGCGTCTGAATTCAGAATTACGGGTAGATTATAATATAGATAGCGCGAATTTACGTCATAGACGTAATTATGTCGTGGATCTTTATAAAAACGTAGCTCAAATGTAATTTTGTCGAGATTTTATATTATGTATGTCATTTATGTCTGTACAATCATCACTGGTTTCTTCCGCCCCTCCATCGAAGCGCCCTTCCTTCCTCCGCTAATCTGACACCTTTGTGTAATGTCGCAGAACACAATGTCGCTTTGCAACGTCACGAAGCAACAGCTCTTCCAGCTAGTGGTATGGGCGAAGCACATACCGCACTTTACGTCGTTGCCGATAGACGATCAGATGCGTCTGCTTAAAGCCGGCTGGAACGAACTGCTAATAGCCGCCTTCTCCCATCGTTCCATCGATATAAAGGACAGTATCATTCTGACAACGGGCGCCGCGGTGCATCGGCAATCGGCGCAACAGGCGGGTGTGGTAACGTTATTCGATCGCGTGATCTCGGAGCTGGTGTCGAAGATGCGCGAGATGAAAGTGGACAAGACCGAACTCGGATGTCTTAGGTGAGAAACTGGCGGATATATTGTATAATCTTTAACAGGATTCACGACGATTGATTAGAAATAAAAATTGAATATCTATGTCAATGTCTCTGCCTCGTTATCTTTTTTCTTTTAATTCTGGGATTTCATTTTTCCTTCTTTTTTTTTTTTTTTTTTTTTTCCTTAAGTTAGTATGGCAAGCGAGCAAGTAAACGAAGTGATTCCAATGACTTTCGATAATATTAATAATATCTTTTTTTTTTCCGATATGCAGATCAATTATTCTCTTCAATCCGGACGTGCGAGGCCTCAAGTCTGTCCAAGAAATCAATCTACTGCGCGAGAAGATTTACGCCTCTCTGGAGGAGTACACCCGAGTGAACTGTCCGGAGGACCCCGGCAGATTCGCCAAGCTGCTGCTCCGCCTGCCATCCATCCGTTCGATCGGTCTCAAGTCGGCCGAGCACAATTTCTTCTTCAAGCTAATCGGCGAGGTAGATCGGGTTGAAGAATTCCTCGCGGAAATATTGGAGTCACCGTTGGATCCTTAGGAGCAGAAGGTGTGCCGCATTTTGGGGCACACCGATATGTAAAAAAAAGGAAGAAAATTTAAGAGAAGAAGACGAAGAGGACGATGACGACGAGAGAGGATAGGACCCGCATTCGAGTCGAGTTTCGCATTCGAGATGCAACGATTTCTGTACGGCGTCGCCTTTCCCCGCGTCGCAATATGGACTATCCGTGTGTCGAGCGAGGTGGAATTTTACTTACTTCTCTTTATCGCCATCCCCCGTCTCCTCCCTCCCTTCCTCCCGTCCCCCCCCCCCCTCGCCTCTCGTTATTTATGTTTTTGTTAGAGCTTAGCGACTCTTATGTCCAGCGTAAGGAGGCGGTCGTACACTGGCCGGTGCAACGCCACGCACGTACGGGGAAAAGATAAGCGCCCCCGTAGGTGCGCGCACACGCGCGTCTGCGTCTTCGTATGATTCGTACACGCGTGTATCTGAGGCACATGTTGAGCGCCGGTAGACAGCTGCGGTCTGCATAATCCAGGCTTCGACGTTGTCGATCGTTAAATTAGTTAATTTCTCGAACCGGGATAAATTTGTTTCGCGACGGGTATCAGCTATATACCCTTACAAGACGCAAATGCGCTCGATAGAAATTCAGTTCGATTTTATCCAATGGATAAGTAAAAGTTTTTGACGGCGTTAATTTATGATGAAGAGCTACGTAGACGGATGGGGAATTGTTCTCTATCACGAAATAATGTTAATCACAATCGCTGCCTCTTTAGCCTGCGACATGTGTCGTGCCATCATCCGAGCGAAGATCGTGTCCTACACGTTTGTTGTCGTGCCGATCGATCCTCGCTTCGGACAGACGTCGCGTCTTCGTCGGACCGCAACCTCTCTTTCACGCAGTCATAGAAGTTCCTAGAATTATTAAGTTTCTTTTTTTTTTATTTTTGCACTTTGTTACTTTTCGGTCTCTCTCTTTCTCTCTCTCTCTCTCTCTCTCTCTCTCTCTCTCGTTTGTCCTTCTCGTCTCTCTTTCGCGACAAGACGTCGGCGGGGGGGTTCGCCTCGGCAGCGATCCCCGCTCTCGACGCGGCGGACGCGCTCGACGAAGACGCGAGTCTGTGCTCGCGAGTTCTCGGACACCTTTACATTCCAACTCTGCCTCGATTCGGATCGTTACTTTAAAGAGCCACTATTTGCATATAGATATGTATACATATATACTTGCATCAATGCGTATTCACGCATAAGGGCTTAATGGCCCTTACGCTCACGTGCGCAAGTTTAACGATAATTTATTGTTTTGTATTTTAGAGTATAGGAGAGAAAAACGAACTTACTAATTCATTATTAATTAAATTAAATGTACGCATGGTAGCCCCCTTTTTTATGCAGCATGTGTCCGTGATGAAATGTCGGAAGTGCAACAATAATAATGTGACGTCGGAGCGTGCAAAAACGAAGTATTTCAAGGTGTTAGGGTTTCCGTTCATCTCCGTTTCTCTTTGGTTTGAAAACAAAAAACGCACGCTCAGATATATACTCGAATCTTCTACGTTAATCTTTAACGTTTAGATTTAACGATATGACAAACTCTTACTACGCGTATATACTTTGCAGTATGGAATGCTGTCTTCTGTGTCTGGTACAAATTCGACATGGCAGCAAATAGAGTAGAGAGAATATAGACGGTTTTTTTTCAGTTTTTACTGTTTTACTGGCAGTGAGATTTGTTTTTACCCCGGCGAATGTTCAATGCACATGAAAGCAGATAAAAACAAAGATACAGGAGCTCTCGAATCTTTGAAAAAAATAGGAGACGTTTGCGAGACGTATAATCATATTATAAAAATCTAGCGTACGATAAGAATTAACTGATCGTGGACACAGGACTAAGATAGAACCCTACTCTCGTTGTTAGTAATTTACAGAATTGCGTATCACATGACGTGAGCTGACGGATCCGACGAATTTGTAAATTACACACAAAGCGGAGCGAGCATCTTGCGATGTTTGCTCAGCGGTTTATTTTCTAAATTTAAAATGTTATTAGATATATAAAGATATGTACAAAACGTATATATACATATACATATATATATTTTTCTCGAGACTGTTAATTATTATTCTATCTGTTAACTATTTCTACTTGTGGAGAAATTGAATTAACGAGGTAACATAATTTATGTGATAGTAAAATTTTAATAGTTTTTTATGTCAACATTGCGTTGGCTCGGTTCTTCGTTTGGAAAAATTTTTAGATGTGTAATATTGTATGATATTTTGTTCATTTTATAGAGATACGTAAACGTTTGTAATATTTAGATTTTACACGTATCCATTTTTATGTATTTTTAATAACGAATTTTATGAAGTTTGACGATTATAATTGATCTGATTGATTAATGATGACACGATGCAATTATGTTGTAAAATGTGAGCGTTCATATTTGTAAAATTATTTTTTTATTTTAAATAAAGTCATTGTGGAATAACATTTCGTCATTTTGCGAATGTTGTACAAAATATTTGATACTTTTCGGACTCTTTCAGCTCTAATCATTGATACGGTTTACTCTACTACTCTAGGAATAGTAAGGGAATGATCATACTTACTTCGATAACATAAATTATGATAATATTATTGTATATTATTAAACATATTTCTATTTTTGCGTGAATGCCTACGATTGTTAGTTGTTGGTTATTGTTATCTACTTGATGAGAGTTTTTAATGTTATGCGTACCGTGGGAAACAAACACAATATTAAATTCATAATTTTTTTTATAACATGCTGGAGTTACTGTTCATTTCAGATGCCTGTTTTAGTATTTTTTTTTTTTTTTTTTTTTTAATCAGGGAAGACGAGTTATATATTTAATGACGTATTAATGCGGATGCAAGGAGCAATATCGAGTAATGTAAATCGACTTAATTTCCCAGTATATACGATTCGAGTCATTCTTGAATTTTCTTTTTAATAAGTAGGGGCGCAGAGATTTAGAGAGCGAGATTCTATTACCAAACTTATCGTTTGATCGTACAATTGTTACTTCAATACTTTTATTGACGAAGCACCTGACCAAAATTACCTCTGAACAATCGCGCGACTAGCGATCACCTCTTCAAATTCCTCACAAAATATTAAAAATAAAAAAAAGTAAACGATGCTGTAAGTGACCATTAGGATTGGAGGGCGCGAATGAAGCTACCTGTGAATGAAGTTTCATATAAATATATAAATGTTATATAAAAACGGAAATATATCTATACATATATATAAAATAATATATGAATATATATAAACCGAATTCTTTCACAAATACAAATGCAACAACCTCAGTAGTGATCAGGAAAAAGAAAGAAAGAAAGCGTTAACAAAGATAAATGACAGATTAAATGAGCTCTATGTCCTGCGATCAGATACATTATAAATAAGGTAAGAGGATTTTACAAGAGTGTGGTCTTTGGAATGCCGTGATGTTTTACTAAAGCATAAATAACACACCGAGCTTCTTTCGCGAAGCACCGTATCGGGGGAAGGGGATTGGGGTAGGGAGGGGGGAGAGAGTGCTGGATCATGTGTGTGTGTATACCGAGTATACTTTAATATAAAACTTAAAACTGCTTTTGCCATACTTCTTTGAAGTATCATTGAAATGGTACGATGCTCAAATCGTGTGTAGTAACAGTCTTATCTAGTAACAGTGTCCTAGAGTGGAAGAATTGGGTGCGCTGTGTAATCTTTCTGTACAGTAGAACAGCAATGGATACTACATTTTACTTTTCCACCTATTGTTATCTCTCCCTTCGCTTTCGTGTCTTGTACTTATGCGAATCCTGGACATTATTTTTTTTTTCTTTCGTTGCATGATTTCCCCTTTCTCTCTACATTCTCTCTTTCCTTTCAATAATTTCAAACGTTTGACTAACATTACTTTCGAACTTGTAAAATCCTAGCTTCTTCTGTCACTTCAATATTTAAAGAGCAAACAACAGGGCATCTTTTTTTTTTCGTAGCGTACCCGTGACCTTTTCTACGCACCCATTCTACATAGATCAGTACAAATAAGTTTAATAATAATAATAATAATAATAGTAATAAATAACAATAATAATGATAATAGTAATAACGATACCGATAATGTTAATAATATACCGTTTACTCTTATCAAGCGCGTAAGGTATACCCAACTTAACAGGAAAAAAAAAACAGTAGCAGGTGTCCTACTAAAAATACCGTACCTTTAACGAGCTAAACTGTAAGCCAGTATGTTACAATCTATGTATAAACGTCGTACAATTTACGTGTATGGGCAATCTCTAATTAAGAAAGTTAATAAGTTATAGCTCTTGTATGACTGCCATTATGATCAAATATTATTTCGAATAATTATCGTAATGCGATATACACACCGCCGGGTGAGCGGGTCGTTTGCAATTAATTTCTTCTGGCCCGCGCGGACGGGAGAGTGGACGAGAGAGTGCACGTTTATACACGCGCGAAATACAGAAGAGAAAACGCACGTAAATCGTTCGCTAATAATTTCGAATTAGATCGACTTTTCTCTCGCGCGCGAAGGACGACAAGGGCGTATTTAAATATTCTTAGATGAACACTAGAGAAAAACAATTTTCCGATTGCAAAGCCGATTGGATTACTTCGAATGAAACTTGTAATTGTATTGTCGATAAATGTTGAATGTAACATTCCACTTTAAAGATAATATCGTTAATTGGCGCGCATATACGAATGCCTATCGAACATCGCTTTTCCCTTTCTATTTTTTTTTTTCCTCACACGACACAAGTCTCCGACGATATGTGATTCGCTACCGTTTCACAGGAACCTTTTTGAAGCACCGCGATTATTCGATGTTTCCCCCCCTCCAGGCTTATTGCGTTACGGTGGGACGAGAGGCGTGTTGTACGATACTCTATCGCAAATTGATATTAATTTATTTCACTGGCTTTAATAACCAACGACACTATATATGGTTGTGCTCCGTAGATAGCAAAGCAATATAATTAATTGTACATGTGTGCACATGAGGATGTATATATTTATATATATTTATAATATATATCTTATGTATATTAATACATTATACTATATTTATAATATATTATATACTTATTATATACATACTATATATATACATATATATATTTTTCATGCGCGCACATGTATGTATGTATGTACATCCCTCAAGAGTCCATCTCTACCTTTTTAAGCTGTAAGTTACGATTTCGTTAAGTTAATGGGACGTTTCTTGATTTTTGCGCATCCATTGTAGATTACGAAAAAGAAAAAAATCTGTCTACATACTTATACTATATTTACTACTAAACTATTAAGAAATACGCTTTTGTAAATGTAAACGTACACCTTTTTTCAAATATAACGGTACGGAACATGTGCAAAGTATCACGTACGGAGGCGTCGAGTTCTCAGGTGAGAGGAGAGCGAATGTTTTAGGAAGAATAAGAGTAATATATTCACACACAGAAAGCGAGATGAGGGTATATAAAATAATAATGTAGAAATGTAAGGGAGAGAGAGAGAGGGAGAGAAAGAGATCCCGAGATGTAGGAGAGCGGTAAACGAGAGAGGGGGAGAGAAAGAGAGAGAGACTGAGAGAGTAAGAGAGGATGAGAAATTGTTGACGGCAAGAATGTGCAAAACGAGGGGAGTGATGCTATGAGTGTACTTGTACAACAGTATGGCTAGTAAACAATCCCCGAGTAAAGAAATATAATGTACGGTTTCGCGCCAAGAGATAGATCGTCTATTCTGACTTATCTAAATATAATATTTTTATGAACTGAAAACAAAGATTGTCATATTTTTGTACCATTTACAGACCCGCCCCCTGTAAATCTTTGCTCGCACTGTAAACGCTTGTAACGAAGATGAGAAATGAGTCATCGATCGATTAGATTTTTCTTTCTTGCAAGTATATTTATTAACTGTATTTATCGGAAGCAAGACAGGTTTCGTGCAATCCATAATTTCGCTTACGGAGCAGTTAAAAGTTCATATCCTTCACATAGTTCGATAATGGGCAAATGTACAATGATTGCTTACACATGTACGTGTGTATGTAAAGTGTAATATGTGACAAATATATTTATATATATACACTTCTATTTAAGAAAAAAAAAGGAGGATGGAATGTGTAAGAATTAAAGTAACAATATTTCCTGAAGCATACATGATCGTTTCCGTATTTCGTAAAAAATGTATGTTAATGTCATATGATTGGAACGGATTTTAAATTATATAACACGATATAGCTTATACATAAATTACATATATTACATTCGTTAATTGCAGGAAGCAATCGAGGAATGAAGGAAGATACAAATAAATAAGAAATGTGGAAAGTAAATCAAATAAAAACTATGGAAAAAAATTTTTTTTATTTATGATGGACATTGAAAGTCGAATATAGTTCAGCAAAATGGTCGATCACTGACAGTTAATACGGACGTTAACATAATTGCAAACATTACAATTATCTGATGTAAGTCCATCACTGCAAGTTCTTTCCCCATCTTCCATTTTTTTAATATATATATATAAATAAAACTGTATTGCCTAATACAAAATTGGACACAAAAACAAAAACATTGTTACATACATCTCTCGCAATTAATTGCTTACACATCGCGATTATGAAGAATTCCTGTTGCCACTTTCCCTCATATTACAGAGTATGTACAATTTATCAAGAAATATCACTAAACAGAGATTTTACTTTATATATTGCAAGTTAATTTCATTGCAAATTAAGATTGGAAGTCGAACTGTTTGTTTCATTTTTAACTAAATTTCACAGCTTTCTAGCATGTGTTGCAGTCTTGATTTCCTGTTTACCTAGAAACACACATATAAAAATAAAGATTAGTTTTAATGATCAAAATCTCGATTTTAGTCGACATAAAATTTTGCATTATAATTCAAGATGTTTGGTTGATATTAGACGCTACGCCTAGAAAATCGTCGCAGCGAGAATCTGACTACCAATTTGATCTAACATGTCTGTGCAGTAACAAACACAAGTAAAAAGTGTTGGTCACGAATATTTACATGTGTATCTATAAGTGGTGACATTAAAGTCTGACGTTAACTCTTTATTAATAGGATTTATAGGATAAAAATCTTAATACAAGATTCTTAATAATAATAATATGACTCACAAAATTTGTCCAGAATTTATTGAGTATCTAAGGATATTCTTAGAACTTTTCTTCTTCAAGACCATGCTTGAAGAACATGAGTACAGGCACAGATTCGCCGTCGATCTCACGGTACTCCATAAGGCCCACAATTCCATCAATATCCATAGAAGTACCGGTGAAGAATTGCAATTCCTTGAAGCGGCTTAGGATGTCCTTCATAACTTTGTTCATATTAGTTTTAAAAACCTCTACTTGATCAGGCGCAGTTTCCTCTAGCTTTGCTACTAATCTGTAAAAAGAATTTAGAAAATTCCATGTTTAGAATACAGAATGAAAGCCAATAAATCTATAAAGATCACTCACTTCTTCATGTAATCTTTGAGGTATAACGTGTAAGATTTCTTATCTCCGAAGGCAAACGTTTCCTGAAGGCGATGGTTCAATACGACGTCCACGCCAGACTCTACCGCTTCGTCGGTACCTTCGTCAGCCTCCTCCGCGGATGGATTAAAACCAGCAATTTCGATATCGCCACCCTTACGGGTAACTAACTGTAAAAATTAAATTTAAAAAATCTTATGCCGATGCTCCTTGCACAAAGTACTTTTACGAGTAACATGTGTGTGTATACATATAGGTATATATACCTTGCCATATACTTCATATATAACGTCGTCCACCAGTTTCATCTTGTAGGTATCGGAGAACATCTCGTCTCCTAAAATATATATATACAGAATATTATAATACATGCTTAAGTATCTCGTTTTGTGCGAAGATTAGATCTCATGATTTTATATTAGTCATCACACGAGCACGTTACTCCCGCTATCGTACGAATCTTTTGGAATGTTCGAGAACATATGGAGAGGTTAGGAATTTGATACACGATGTAAATCACGATGCAACAATCACGCTGGATCCGTCGTGCAACGTCGAGGCCTGCGAGTGCAATTCCGCGCGGAAAATCGACACGGGAATGTTTCTCAATGTGTCGAGTATCGCCGAGAAATGCCCGCTATCGTTCAGATATTTTCCCTTCCCTATTATCACGTTTCGGCAACGAGAGAGAAAAAATACTCGGCCCACGCGATCGCGGGCAGCGTTCCTCGTTTACTCACCGGTGAAAATATCCTTATAAATCTTCATTGTGGAAGATGGAGAAAGATTCAACTGCAGCTAAAACTAAACAAGACACGGTCACCCAAAGGAGCGCACCAGAAAAGAAGGAGACTCGACGAACGTCTGGTCTGGCAGGCGTCTATATCAATTTCAACGCGACCAAGGCTGCCAAACGCATTGACTGAAATTGACGACGACTCTTGCAGCGCCACTCCGGGCGCTTACAAATCTTACGATTGGCCATCTGGGGAGAATTCAGGATTTCTAACCGCGAAGTCTTGAAAACTCTTTCCACAAAGATTATTAATATTGCGAGAATCTTAATTACAAGGAAATTGCATGCAATAAACATTTGTTTTGCACATTTTACATAAACTGCTTTGTTAAATTATCGCTTATATTACTTAAATAAAATTCAAATCTATTATATTTTTTTATAAACAAATTTTTATAAAAGAATGATTGCTTTTATATAGCGCCTTTGATAAAGTCCCAATCGCGATCATAACTGCTCTCATATCGTTTTCGGACGAAGCGGATTTAGCGATTAATAACGTCACATGTTCTCCTCGTCCAATCAGAAATCTAAAATAAAGCATGTGACGTCATTACGCTCTCGGAGCGAACAAACCCGCTCCCCCCGGTCGCTAGCTTCTCTTTCCGGCCATAGGTTGCACATAGAGGCGCTTCCTGGTGCTAGAGGCGCCTTGTCCTATCGGTCAATGACACGTGTTGACGCATGCGCGGGAAGTGCGCTCGCCAGATGTTATTTTTTTCTCACGCGCTTAATAGTTATTAACGTTGTGTGAGAGTTGATCCCGAGAACGCTTGCCCAAGTGTGCTGCTTTCATCGAAGAATCTCGATTGCGAGTCGGTAGCTGCGGATCCTTTCGACCTCCAGGTAGGCGATCGGTGATTACTCATTTCGCTGTTGCAAGCGAAAGCCCGTCGCTGTTGCGCCGCGAAATTTTCTGTCTCCTGTCGATCGACGCCAAGGGAGTCCGTTCCTCCATCTTGCCAAGTCACTGTTCTTCCTCGTCTCTGTACCGCGCGATCGATTATTACACATTAGGTTTGTAGCCACAAGCTTCGGATTATCCCACTTACTTTGAATACGTCAAAATAACGCGAATAGGTTTAATCTTGTATTGCGTCTAGCAGAGTTAGATAATTTGGGCTTCCTACAGTTTCGGAGGCTGTGCTACAAATGCTGCGAAGCGTACATTTCTTTGTCCTAATTTATTTCGTCAGTCGAACGCCTCGAAGCATTCGTAGTGCCAAGTGAACCGCAGCCGTAAACTTATGACTATCACGCGTTTTGTAAAGATCTATTTTGTAGTTTATTAGTTTGTATTAATGTAGATTACTTATAAAAGATACAATTAACTTATGTAAAAAGAGAGAAAGAAAATGAATGAAATTAAGTAGAAGGAATGGGCTCCAAGAAATAAATCAAATACAGTGAAATAATAGTCGATGAGAGCCAAACATGGATGTTGGTGTGCGAGATTTTTATTGTTACAATATCCAATCACAGCGCAGATCTTGTGTAGTTGGATATTGCAACAAAATAAAAATTTTCCAACACTCATGTTTGTCTCTCATTGGCTATTCATTATATTTGATAGAAAATAAAGTCCGTTTTGGAGAACAGTTATAGAGATCAAGTGTGAAATTAAAATTCTATAAAATTATGTCTTGTTTTTTCCACTGAATTTTTTAAAATTAAATCTTTAACCTTTATATATATTCTCAAACATTGCATTTTTATGCAATTAATATATTACAATTATAATAATTATTGTATTTTAACAAATGTTTACTAATAATAATATATAGAATATATTATTATTATAAAATATATTAACTTTGTATGTATTTTTTTCCTTGTACAGATTCATCATGCAAATCTTCGTGAAAACTCTTACTGGAAAAACCATCACCCTCGAGGTGGAAGCTTCTGACACTATAGAGAATGTCAAAGCTAAGATCCAGGACAAAGAAGGTATTCCTCCAGATCAACAACGTTTGATCTTTGCTGGCAAGCAACTAGAGGATGGCAGAACTCTTTCTGATTACAACATCCAGAAGGAATCTACGCTTCATCTGGTTCTACGTCTTCGCGGAGGTATGCAAATCTTTGTGAAAACTCTCACTGGCAAAACCATCACCCTCGAAGTTGAAGCCTCTGACACAATCGAGAACGTAAAAGCCAAGATCCAAGACAAAGAAGGCATTCCCCCGGATCAGCAGCGTCTGATTTTTGCCGGCAAGCAACTCGAAGATGGCAGGACTCTTTCAGATTATAACATCCAGAAAGAGTCTACGCTCCATTTGGTTCTGCGTCTTCGAGGAGGCATGCAAATCTTCGTGAAAACTCTCACCGGCAAAACCATCACCCTCGAAGTTGAAGCCTCTGACACAATAGAAAACGTGAAGGCCAAAATCCAGGACAAAGAAGGAATTCCACCGGATCAACAGCGTTTGATTTTCGCTGGCAAGCAGCTGGAAGACGGCAGAACCCTTTCCGATTACAACATCCAAAAAGAATCTACACTCCACTTAGTTTTACGACTTCGCGGAGGCGCGCTGTGAGCTGGAAGTCGGTAGAAATGTCCGCTAGTCGTAAATTAAGTAACATCAGTAGTATGGAGGTAGCGTTTATTACTTTTTGTTTAATTTATGCTTCGAATATTTACATATACCTATATAACATTACTTTTAAATATTCACGAAGTACAACAAGAATGTAAAAAATTGTAATCCAATATATATATGCAGATGGATGCATTCTTGGGTAATAAACATTAAATTGCATTCAGATTTAATCTTGAATGATTTTACTATGAATTTTAAGACGCAACCAGAATTTTCCTTTCTAGGATTTATTAAAATAACTTTATAAGTATAACCATATTGCTTATGCCTTCGTAAATATTACAGAATAAAATATTGAGTTTTCAAACAGACTATTTAGCTATTAGTTTCGATGCTGGTAAAGAAAATATATTTTTTAAGTATTTGATATATCGCAATCACTTTTGAACGATGAATATTGATAAACTTATAAATTCTATTTGTTTTATCGATAAATATATACAAATATTAATACATTTTTTCGCGTTCTTAACTAGAAAGAAAGATAATTTTCGCAAAAAATTCATTTACGTTAATGTACATGCGACATAATGATTCAATGAAAAATTACACCTCGATTCGCGCTGATTATATGTACGATTGTATACATGATGATCGTCAGACGTAATTAATATTCAGTTTAATGCAAATAATATATTTGAATAGCGAATGCAAAAATTAAAATTTTTAAATCGTACTAATGAAATAATTTATGCATTAATTCACTGGTAATCTGAATGAACATACGAGTCACGTGGGATGGTTTCTTCAATGCTGTGCAATTTTTGTACTGATCTTTCTTACTGGCTTCAATAATAAATATATACTTATACGGGTCCTGTAATAATCAATAATTACATTATCGCGCTGCGTTACGTGAAATTAGCACAGCTTCAATAATTATGGGTTACTCACCTATAAAACTTAACAACACTGGTAAGAATATTAGACCGTGTGCCGCACCGAACAGAACAATTCCCAAGTACATTCTGAAATAAAAAACCCGGAAAATCTGTGACTTGGCAAATGCCAGCACCACGATTCCCACGAATTTCGTTAAAGTAATTCCGGAGAATACCTGCAAGATAATGCGAGAATGAATTTGTATGTATGTACGTATAAAATTTAATATTTTATCCAAGAAAATTAAGAAATTCTTTCAAGATATTTAAATTCAGAAATATCGTTCTTTTTTTTTCGTTTAACATTTAATTGGACTTACTGAACTCCCCATAACGGAAAGAGCTTCCGATGCTTTACCGATCCTCGTCATCGCTACAGAAGTGGTGTAGGAATGCACTATGTGACTGCAAAATTCTACAGAGATACCAGCCGCCTACAAAAATTCATGCCTTAATGCACAATAAATTTATTATATAATAATTTAACTAATTTAAAAAATATATAATTTTACACGTACAAATATTAAGTGGTGATACAATTTTATATTGTAATCTGGTAATGGAGTAAATATCTATATAACGATGTTATTAAATTAATAATAGAAATAATTATTTTACTAACAATAATGAATATCATCAAGATTCAGCCGAGGCTAGATATTAGTGTCCAATGCTTTAAAAAATTTTTTTAATTCAATTACAGTATATTTTACTGAAATTTGAAAATTTATAAAAAAAGCATTGGGCACCAATATCTAATCTCGTCGAATCTTGACGGTTCTCATTATTATTTGTTGTATATATAAGGCGGCCTTATTTGAAGTTATTAATAATTATAATTATTTAATTATAGCTGATATTGTCTAATTGGAAAAAAGATGAGATGAACTATTATATTGAGTCGAAATATTAATAGCTTAATAGTTACAAACCATGACTAAATTTACAAGAGAGACGCATTCAAGCTTATGTTCCACCAGTACATTAGGCCCGCCAAATCGATTATTATCATCAAGACAGTAAGAACGACTATCACTGCAGAGAATAATGATAATCCTGTGAGAAACACTGTCACTACGAAAATCACAGCAAGGGATAAGCTTATCGACGTCAAAGTCTCCTGCCAGATGGTTAAATACTGCTCGTAAAACACGTAGAATACACTGAAACGTACAACAAAAAATTTATTCGTATTTAAAAAATTTTAAAATTTATTTGATAATTAACAGTGATAATAATCACCCAATTTTTTTCAAGTTAGGCAATTGCTTTAAAAATATGGAATTCTTTTTAATCGCAATCAAATCTTATTGGAATCTTACCTATATGGAAATACATGAACTTTTCCATTGGACACCTCGGCATTGTTGATCATATTTGTGATGTTTTCCGCTATTATCCTGGCAGCTCGCAACGCCTCGTACCAATCGGATGATTTTTTTAAGGGCGTATGGTAACCCATGAAATACGAGTCGTTCACATTTGTCAGACCGAACTCATCATAATGAAAGTTTATTGCCTGTTCAAACAAAAATTCAGTAGATTTTATTATTAAAAAAAAGATTAATTTTTAAATACCTTTAAAAATTAGATAGATTAATTTTTATTTTAATTTTTTTTGCTGCGTTTTAGAAAAACTTGGAAATTGAAAACTCGTTTTTTATACGGCATCGTAAAAATTTTCCATTAGTAACTTATCAAAGTACAGTGGTTTTTTATATAATGTTGACTTACATCTAAGTAAGTGGGTCTGCCAGCTTTGGCGCACTTTTCATCTGGAATGTCGTTCACGAAATATGGGATATACCTTCTGAAACTCGTTTCATTCGGACGCGAGGAACTCTTGTCAATGAGAATCTCGCAGGGCTTACACTTTTCTGTAAATTATGTTACTATCATCAAGTTAAATTTGCTTAAAATTGATAAGAAAGAAAAGTACGTATGAGTATAAAACGTATGTTTCTTTCGAAAATTGATATTATGCACATACATATGTATGTATTAATATCATAATTTAATGTAATACCGATACATACTATTATTATGTAAACAAAAAGATTGGTTGTTCGCGTAATATTTGCAACAGGTACTAATTGACGACCAATCGAGGTAGTCATCTATCCAAGATGAAGCTGCTTTAGACAAATAGGACCTGCAATTATTAATAGATAAAATTCTCCCTGCGTATAATTTTCAAATAATTATTTTTAAGTAAATATTTTTGGTGTAGCCATAAAAATCCCGAGAAAATGATTGCAAATGCCAAATTGATTAACGTACGTGACGTAAAATTAATGTAATGAAACAAATTGAATTTTGTTGAAATACGAAGTGGAAGAAAAATATAATTTTATCTTCCTAGTTTTATTTATAGCTTGCAGCACATTTTTCCGAGATTCCTCAAATGAGAGATACAAACTCGGAGGATTGCTTGGCGGCCGAATAGATCTGCGTGTATAAGGAATCCGTGTTGCATCCTTGGCCGCCGCATATGATGTTCTGTACTTCCTTCTTACTATAATTTAGGCCTTCTGTCAGCACGAAGTATACGGGTGGGCCCATCGATAAAAGGTCTTCCATGTACTAAAAATATAACTTCGCTACAGCTGCACTGTCATGTAACGTGTAATATTCCGTAAATACATACAACATATACGATACATGATATTCTAAAAATATGAAATATCTTCACTTTAGTGTTTTTAATAAGAGAAAATATTTCTTGCGATTTTTAAACGACGCATAAATAATTAACTGCGCATTGAATTATAACAATTACGGTTTCTATAATTTTTATATAGTTTTCTTGATCTTTTATATGTATATATTTACCGTAAAATATTTGAGAACATAGGAATCTTCAGGCATCGAGAGCTTCTGATCCAGTCCAATCTCGATCTGCGGTAAGACTATGATGTGAGTAGCGAGAGCAGCGATGAAGATCACTATGACGACAGATCTAACTGGCGTTCTCATTATAAACGGTGTGTAGGTGCGCTCGAAGATTGCGTGAACGATACCGTCGCGCTCATCGATATTTGGGTCGTTCTTGACGGGAACGCAACAGAAAACGTCCAGGCGATTATTCTAAAAAATATTGGTCGTTTCGCTTTAAAAAGGGTACTGGTCAAGCTCTAAAAATCTCGTGAAAAATTGAAATATTAATGTGTTGCTAGGATAATTAAAATTCTTAGAAAAATTAACATAATTGCAATAATGTAAATATAATTAAAATAACATGAATTTGCATTTGTATATATTAATTGTTGAAAATACGATTTTTCTCACATAGAACGACAACATTTTTTTATAAACATTTTTATTAAAAGTTTGTTAAAATACTTTACCTCAGCTCTCCGGGAGTCAAGGGCTAATAAAGCGACGAAGGCCGTTGTTTGAAGGAGGAAGTTAATTAAAATCGATAGCGAGGCATACATCGCGAAGGTGTTGACCGCTGGCATTGCGGAAAACGCCCCTGAAATTTTTATTTTTCACATTATAATTATTAACAGAAGGAAAGATCATTCTCCTTTATTTTTTTTAAAATAATTTATATGATTAATATTTTTAGGTGTACTCATATGTACGTACCAATGAGGAAGCAGAAACATTCGGAGGTGCTGGTAAGCAGCATCGAGGGTCCGACTGCAGCCAAAATTCTACCGATGTGCTCGGGAATTGTTTCGTCGATGTTCCGTGGAGTTCTCTGATGATTTTGCACCAAGATGAAAATGTTGTCGACTCCGACAGCCAGCACTAAGAAAGGTATTACCTGAACAACAATTTACCATTAAATTTTTTCTGTGTAAACGTACTTTAAATATATTTAAATTGCATTTAATAGACAAAGATCGACGTGCGTTTAACTTTCTGGTCACGTCCATGTGAATTTTGCATTATTTAAAAATATTAGGAAATAATTTATTTTTTAAATTTTTTTTTACACGAAATTACATACTTATTTCAATTTTATTGCGTAATTTGTTTTGCGTACTTGCAAGAAATTTACGTAGAGGCTTTATATAAATAGGAATTATATAAATAATTAAATCTTCAAATTAATTATTATTGAATTAATTAATAATTAATAAATGTTCGAATTATTATACC